TGGGATTAAAACAAATATTTCAGTTTGAAGACAAATCCACTCATGGATAAAAAGTTAAAAGTCAGCAATGAAAACGACTAAGTCACAACAAGAAAAAGTGCAGTGAAAACACTAAATTACATTGCCAGGCAATCAGAGAGTTCAGAATTTCAGACCCCACAAGCACTGCAACGAAAGCAGCTATAAAAGCCCTCTAAAGTAAAGCAACCAGAGAAATAAGCACACTTTAATGTCAGAGCTGCTCTGTATATGAAAGAGCAACCACAAACAGAGCAGCTTCGTCTCACTCCAACATGAATACAAGTGTTGACAAACAAACCCATGAAAGGGGGATGATAGAACAGTAACAAATGCTTTAAAGAGAGGCTCTGAAATCTCCTGGCCTGGTTCCACCAAAGGTACCCCAATAGGTTTTAACATGGTTTAGCAATGTAAAATGCCTTCCAGAGTATTCAAATTATTTATTTAAAATATATACATAGGCATACAACTGCTGCCACTGTGATGCCACACGGTAGATTCAATACACTCCAGCACACAGAAAACACAGATAAGCTCTTTCTGTATGTTTTAACATGCAGTTTTACAGCAGACATGCAACTCAAGTGTGGCTGAACAAAGAAAGAATCAAGGCAGGACAACGATCAAAATTTCATGAGACAGAAATAAAAAATATTTTACATGTAAAAGAACAAAAAGGTAAATCTATAAATTATGTTGAGCTAACCTTAGAACTGTTACATTGATAGAGACAGTGACTTGATTCTACCAAGCCAAGCTTCTCTGAACTGTTTTAAGGAACACTGTAGGCCTCTTAACTACTGAACCAGGAGACTTTGGATTCATCAGCCCATTTTCAAGCTTCACAGTAACTGGCATGCACCACTCTGTGTGTTCTAGCCTAAAAATCTATTTGTATGAAGCAAGACAATCCAGTTCTAAGTTTGTGGTAGGAAATACTGCAGATGTATGCTATGTTATCTAGATGACAGACTTTTTCCAAAGGAAATTTATAACAATGCTAGATAACAAACATAAAGACAGTATTTTGTAAAATCACACTACAGAAAATTTGATTTCTTAATGCAGATGTATAATACTCTGAATGAATGTGAAATAAAGATATAACTGATGATTCTCCGATGAATTTTGAATCATATTTAAGTTAAAATAACTTGAAGATAAAGGGTGGACAGTTAAAATGTTTTCAATATGGCCAAACCAGTCTCACATTTCTCAGAATGCCATATTTGTAATTATTCTATTCATCCAGTGCTCTGTAACAATAAAACTGGAGTAGAAAGATTAGGTAAAGAACACTGAAAATGAAGAGAAAAAGGGAAAGAAACAATCTAAGTCAAAGAATACAGCATGCCAAACTCCTGCTTCATTAGTACTGCATTAGGACAGTTAATTTATGTTAAAGATTCACCCCAAGTTGAGTGTTTTAGGGATACTCAATAAAATCAAAATGGCATCATCTGTGGAAGAAATCAGTCAGAATTAAAAGGTGTGGGAGTTAACAAGCTGCTGCAGATTCTAAGCCTGTGAGAACACCAAGCTCTGCTGACAACAAAATATAAAGCAAAGATTTTTGGAACCCCGAGTGGAGGTTCTAGAGACCCCAACTCTCAGTCAAAAGACCTTCCAGAAAAGTACATGACAGAGCTGTTCCCCTTTTCCATAGATTTAGTTATCAGGCATAATAAAAAGGATCATCTGTTATCCCATCCTTTGCTGTGTCCTGCTACCTTTCACTAATATTTAATATCAAATGCAGTGCAGCCCAGTTCTTATCTGTGCTCAGAAACAATACTGGAATCAAGTAATTCCTGAGCCAAGGATTTCCCAAGATGGTTACAAACTAGAGAAAACCATCACACTTCAAACAACCTGCTTTACTGAGTGATGCCCCATTTGGTAAACAGTGAAAACTCCATGCCAAAAACTAGCTTCTAAAACCTAATACAGCATTCTTATAGCTTAATAATGAACAAAAGTGAAACAATTACAAATTATTAAGGTTATTTTTCTCATTTCATTCCGACAAAACCACATGGAAAAGCCAGGATTTGTCAGCATTGTTTATTTGTCAGGGTCTAATCAGCTTGTTTGCCCTCTAAAGAAACACTACTCATTCTACTAACAAGGTTAAAGACCTAGAAAGGTTTCAGAGTTTGCATGCACATGGATGATGAATATCAACCTCTGCCTCTCAACTTCCCAAAAAGAGAAACAAAAGCCTTACAACCCTTTTTGCATATGTTTCATTGTGCTGTGCTGTCATGCAGAAAGATCAGGGTTTAAAGTTTTATGATCCTGAATGGAATAGCAAAAGAAATACATTATCTGCTGAGAAATACCCACTCTTGATTTTGCATCAAAGAAAAACTTGAAACAGTCACAGCCCTGCCTTCCTACAGGAACAAATGGCAATGATTACCAGCCCAAAATGACTAGATACAAAATTGGATAAGGAAGCATGTGGGAAGTGGATGAATATCTTTGCATGCATTACCTTTCAGTTACTTCTTCCATTTAGAAGGATCAATATCAGTCACTTAGATTTAAAATAAACTTTGGATGATAACAGTGCCAAGTGAAAGCAGAGATAAGAACACACAATATATTAAGAAACCTCTTTCACTATAACTTTGAGGCATCTGGCTGGTGGTTACTGCCAAAGTCTGAAGAGCATCTGCTCTCACTTTAGCAGTTTATATTCCAACTCTGGTGAATGGAAGCACAATCTCTGAAACAGCCTTTGGGGAACACTACTGTGTTGCTCGACAGAGCTCTTACTCAGAAAAGAGAGGAGGAGATTAATATTACAGAAAACTTGAAAGATCTGGCTTCTGAGAAAGGAGAGAAGAGTGGTTTCCTAATACTGTACACACCACAAATCTCTCTTTTACTCAGACATTAAAAACCTGCCCTAAAACTGAAGTGATTAAATATGAATAGATCCAAAGGTAGAAAATAACATCTGTTTAAATCACATTCAGGTAAAAGTAAGAAGAAACAATGTGTTTTTATTGCATTTGTCAACGGGCATAAAGAAACAGGAGAATGAGGACTCACATAACACACGTTTTCCTAATGTGCTTGAGAAGGTCACAGGAGCTTTGCTTAGTCCTGGTGTGTCCAGGCACAGCAACATATGGCAAGACTGAGCTTTGTCCTGGACTTACAATGTCGTTATTTTAAGTGCCCAGTAGCACAAACTACTAAATTTGTGTGTGGTCCTAAGCAAACAACAAATCTGGCCACACACAGTGAAAACCAAGCTTCTAAAACTTCAAAATCAGCTGAAGGAATTCTTTCCTCAAGAGCAATAGATCCCAGATAGTAGCCACTTGTGAACCCCACAGCCACTTTCAAAACTATAAAAGGCTTCATGTAAAGCCAAAATAAAGCTCTAAAAGTGGCTGCAGGAGATCACTAGGAGTGGCCGCTCTTCTGGATTCACTGCTTTTGAGAAGTAAATCCCTGCAGCTGCTTTTAAAAGCTTTGAAAGTTTCATTTCAATTATCAAAGCCAATAAAGCTTCAAAAACAGCCATCGGGATTTGTTCCTCAGAGGAGCAAACCCCAAAAGGCAGTGATGAATAGTGTGATGGGTTCTGTGGCTCTTGAAGTATGTACAGATTCCTGTAAGTCCTGCACTTGTAATTACAGCTTCATGTTGTGCAGCAATTGTTACACCCAGACAGCTCATTAAGGCTTATGTGGCAAGTTCATCACTGATTTCCCGTTTTTTTTAACAGTTTTATGTCTGTTCCCTTTCTGTTTTCTTCCACCTGTATCAACTATTGTGTGAGGATCCCTCACACCAGTTTCTCAGACGCTTTCCATGAAGCCCTTGCTGGCTCCCAGTCCCAGGTGGTGGGAAGGCAGTTCACAAAATGCTGCACACACTTCCCCAGAGCACAGCACCTCATCCCATCATCCCACTGATAACTACAGCAAAACAATCCCCTTCTCCGAAGGGGAACTTAAAAGGGCGTTTAGGGAAGTGCAAGAGTAAAGGCTGACAACAGGTCAATGAAGAACTTGCCTGCAACTGCAATATAAAAAGGCTCCCGTTAATTCAATGAACATAAACACAAATAACATTTCAGAAGCAACCACATGACTTCAAAGAAATAACTGTACTGATTTGCAACAAGATTTTGGTCTTATCTTTAAAACTACGAGAAATAGATCGCTAAAAATTTGTGATGTAAGCACAGGTCTGATAGAAATATATGATTTATACTGCTAAATAATTTGAGCTTAGTATCTGATGACACTGATGGCACTGAAAACATTACCAAAATTATATTTAAAAATACACCTTTAGGTACTAGAACATACAGAGTATATTAATGAAGTATGTAATATAAAATACATTCTAAGCATACATCCTAACCTTAAAACATCACTGATTTTGAAGAGTTACTCTACTAAATTTTTTAACTTCTGTTTTCAAATGGCAGAAATAAATAAATACACCTTTTTGCCACAATCAATAAATACAGCTTTTTGAAAAAATGCCATAAGAAAATCACTGTGAACTTAAGTAGATGCAGGTGTTAAGAACTGAATAACTGGTTTGGATGGGGCAAGAAAATCTGGACGGGAAACTTCAACATTCTGTTAGATGTTATTCACAGGTGTCCTCTGTGACCTGTACTACTTACTTTACCTCTCTGTTTCAATCTTCTCATGTGCAAAACACGAAGGAGGATTGTGAGAAATAATTAATGTTTGCAAAGAGCTTTGAGATCCTCGGATATAAAAAACATGGGAAAAGCATAAAGTTTAAAAGTACCAGCACGCTTTTTTTTTTCCCTCCAACTTGAGGTAAGTTACTTTTATCAGAAAAACCTTGAAAGTTTAGCAATACCAGACTGTGTAATCAAATGCTTACAAACAACCTTGAGTGCTAAGCCTATTGTGTTACTCAGAAGCACAGAACTCTGAAGGAAACACCAGCAGAAGGAAAGGTGTGGTGCTCACCCGTGTCAAGTATGCGTTTGTGGAGAGGTATAGCAGCAAGGAAGGGTTCATCTTTACAGGACTGGATCTGGGTTCCAACCAAGTCAGAGTTGGTGGCCATGATTCGGGCACTTTCTTCATTAAGATTAACACCAGCCATAGAGGCAACATCATTGATGTCATCGTCATCTCTGCAGTGAAACAAAGAAAGCCAAATAAAAATAATTCTGCATGTAATACATTCCCTTGGTGGACCATCTGCTGCTCCAAAAGTAGAAATCACGTGCCCAGGGGCTGGGCCAACTTCAGGCCCAACCATCGGTGTCTCCATTCTCACAGGATATATTCCAGATTCAGAAATTACCAAGTATTTCTCTGACTGTATCAGGAAAACTTCAGGAGCGGGACAATTTGACTGTTAACAGGAGGTGTGACAGAGGGGTCTTCACCTGAGTCAGTGGTGCCAATGAAACCAGGATGGTCAGGAAGCTCAAGGCAATGATCACCACTAACGACAAAGCATTTGGCTGTTCTCTTTAGAATGGAAACTAGCAGTAAAATGGTAAAATAGAATGGAAACTAGCAGTAAAATGGTAAAATACATACCCCCCCATGAGAAATTAAAAGTAAAACCATGGATTTATAATCCTGCACTGTTCCACAAGCTCCTACCAAAATGGTCACTGATGTATTTTCAGGAATAGCCAGGGAAGATTCTGTGACCATGACGAGTTCACAGGTAAGCCTGGGTTCCAAGTGTGTTTGAGCATGTGATGGTATTTTCTCTGGCAACACACAAAAATCAGCTGAATGTGTCAACAAGTTTTAGAAAACTGAGCTGCATTTGAGAAGAGGATAGCACTTCCCGTGCCATTTTTGGCCCTGAATATCCTTCACAACAGCTTGAGAAAGTACCAATAAATGCGAGTTTCCACACCTGTATCTCCCAAGCATCTTTCACCTCCTCCCTCCATGAGGGATGACTCAGAGCTGTGGAAACAGCCATCTGTATTCAGCACATTCTGTTCTGGGGCTATTACTGACACAAACACTGTATTTCAACATATTCTACGAGTGATTACACAACCTTTCAGAATATACATATGGAAAAGTCCAGACTCCTACTACTGTATAAAGCAAACAAACAAAAGCTTAATTTAAATTTTTTTTTTTTTAAATTACAGAGATATTGTCCTATGCACCCTCGAATACTTTGTCACTTGTAAAAAGCTTAACATCTACACTAAAAACCAAAAGCTGCAATTAAGGTCTGACAATCAAAGGAGGGAAATCCTGAAATACATAATCTAGATCCTCCCTGTCTTCCCATACTTTCCCTGTTATCTGCACTAGAGCAGCCAAGTTTGGTGGAAGACTTCTCTGTTTTGTCAGATACTGGTTTTGTTTTCTTCTGTGGAAGAAGTCAAGAAGGGATTTTTGATGGTGTGAACCTGCAGAAATGTGCTGAACACTTGAGGAAGGAAATGGAAAATTTTACAATGGTTGTCAGAAAAATGCTGCACAAATGAGCTTCTATTATTGTCCATCAGTGTTAAGCACTTCATTTCTTCTCTTAAAATGAAATTCCAGAGAACAGTGTTGCAAAATCACAGAATGGGCTGGGTTGGAAGGAACCTTAGAGATCATTTAGTTCCACCCCCTGCCATGGGCAGGGACACCTTCCACTAGCCCAGGTTGCTCCGAGCCCTGTCCAACCTGGCCTTGGACAGTTCCAGCGACGAGGAGTCCACAACCTCTCTGGGCAACCTGTGCCAGGGCCTCACCACCCTCACAGGGAAGGATTTCTTCCGATATCCCATCTAACTCTGCCCTCTGTCAGTGTGAAGCCATTCCCATTCGTTCTGTCACTCCAGGCTCTTGCAAATACTGTCTCTCCATCTTTCTTGTAGCTCCTTCAGGCACTGCAAGGCCACAGTCAGGTCACCCCGAAGCTTCTCTTCTCCGGGTTGAACAATCCCAACTCTCCCAGCCTTTCCTCCCAGCAGAGCTGCTCCATCCCTCTGATGGTGTTCTCTCTTCCACGAGCCATGGCACGTCCGTGGTGCTCACACGGGGGTCCCAGGGCCACCCCGAGGAACTGCAGCTCCGTGTGGAGTTGTCCCACTCCACGCTCCAGCCGTGTCCCACAGGCCCGGGGACTGCCCCCAGCACACCAACTCGGCCACACGACAACCAACAGCCCAATATTCAGTGACCAGGTCAGAAGTTTATCATTCTAGAAGTGAAAATGTGGGGTTAAAAACCTCAATGCTTGAACTAGAGCAAGAATCACCCCTGGACTCACGAGGCCCAAATCCAACAGGCCTCGAACCACGGCAAAACCAAACTCCTGTCACGGTAGTTATCAGAACACAAACTCTGAACTATGTAAAACAGAGGAAGTTTTCTGTTTTCCACAAAAACAGACTTGAATCCAGAATTTCAAAATAAAAGAATTTAAAAAAAAAAAAAGCCAAGACAGCAGTCTTAACTTCAAGAACACAATTTTAAGAAGAATTTATACTTATCTCTCCTTTTATTTAATAGATTAAGAAAGTATAGTCAATCTTTTACCTTCCTCCTGCTCAGCAGTTTAGCTGCTCCGATTTTTATTTAAAATCTGCAATGATATCAGAAATAAGCAAATATTTACTGAAATAAAAAACAGACCATTAATTTGGGCACAAACCAGGATTTCAGTGAAATTATCAAAACCAATGCAACAGCCCTTACAAAGACCATCACTGGAACTCCTGCACAGAATCATTTCCTTCCATCCTTGAAACCCACTATCTGTGAAGACATCCTTTTGGTTTTGTACTACATGGAAGACAGGTAAGCCATGTTTTAATCATAGCTGGGACTAGGATTTTTTCAGTCTGATAAGCAAAACTTTTTTACTTTGAGGAACCTCATCCTGAAAATGAGCTTTGGTTCAGATACTGAAACACACACATTTATACATAAGGAGGGCTGGCATCCTCATCAAACAATTTGCTATAAAAGTGAACTTTTAAGCCCAAGGAGTGAGTTTTCAGAAGTCATTCTGTGGAACAAAGATGCCATCCAGTGGTCGTCTAGACCGATGATTACTGTCTATCCTTCCCTCTCCATCTGAGCACAGTATTTAACAATTTCACGTTTCTTGGCATATATTATTTTGCCTGTAGTAATTCTACTGATTCAGTAAATACTTCTGGGTTTGACTGACTTAAACTCTGAGTCTCACGGGGTAAATTTAACATTCCAACACGTGTGATTTTTAAGAAGACAACGTGGGTTCTCCAAGCGCAAGCTCCATTTTAAAGTATTCCAAGAGTCCAACTCTTCCTCCTATATTCAACCTCATGTAAAACCTCTCCCTTTTCTCTTCATTAAAAACACTCACGCAATTACAAAATAAAAAAAAAAAGATCTTATCTGAAAATAAGCAAGAAAACCCAAAGTATTCACAGTTCTCTGTAAAACGTTTCAAAGATTTTGTTTAAACTAAGACAAGCCATTATAAAAACCTGGTAACATTTTCTTTATGAACAAATCTTAAATGCATGATTGCACACTGTTCTGTTCTTTTCTTACTTTGAGTCAATGCTGTCCCAAACCTGCAATACTGAACTGCTCCCAAAAAAGCCAGAGGAAATAAAGCCAGAGTATATAAAGCAACTGAGACAACATCACACTATTGATTTCCCTCTCTCTTAAAAGGAAAATTGCATATTTAGGACAAAGTCCCTACACACATGCAAGACTCTCAGAAAGGCTACAAATCCATGGATCACACAATCAGAGATCAACAACAATAAGTGACTTGAAATTACTGTAACAGCCACTATTATAATATATTTTATAATGGCATAAATCCTATTTACACATTAATTATAATGCTTATTCTGACTTTCAAGCTTTAATTTGAAATTTCTCCCTAATACTGCTTTGTCACACAATTCATTTATGGTCTATGTGGAATCTTCTCACTGATAAGCAAAAGGGATGACAGAACATACCACAGTTATGGTCAGCATTTTTCTTTATTTTGAAATATATGGAAAAAAATACACAATCACCTTATAGCTTGAAATATTTATTTAAAAAAACAAAGAAACTTATAGGGTAAGGTTTTGTCACATACCATGTTGAGATGAAAGCTTTGAAGTTATCCATTTAACATCTAGATTTCTATCACTCCTTTAAAGGGCAAGTTGATTTGCACATTATTAGATGTAATATCATGCATTTTGAGGCATTTTGTCCGAGTTATGTTATTAAACTTTTCTTTTTAAAAATGAAAATAAAATACTAGACAACAGATTATTTTGGATAGGCAAAGCAGGTCTGAAAACGAATTTTTTACTCCCAGGTAGACTCTTCCTTGAAGTGTAGCCAGTCAGAAGAATGAAATACAGATACTAAGATCAGCTTCAAATGTTCCCAGAGACTTCACAGACCTATCTCTAGGGTAAAAAAAGCCCCTCACATTGGCTGTACAAAACCTAACGCTGACAGGCCCCAAGAGATGGAACTTCAAAATACCATTTCAGACAAAGAAAGGCTGCTGTGAAAAGGAAGGAGCATCTGGCTGACTGGCAAACCAAACAGGTCATCAGCACACCCCCTGGGGAATGATCTCCCAATTCCTGCCCTACTGGACATGCAGTGCCAGAGTCTCAGGGCAGTTCAGCACTGCTGGGATAACACAACAGTCCAAACGTGCCACTCCATCCTTGGGGATCTGCAAGGCTGGACCAGCACCCAGCCTGACCAAACCTGCTCCAAGCTTGAAACTGGACCAGCTGACCTCTTAAGGGCCCTTCCACATGAGATTATTCTGTTCCAATACAAGGGACAAATGTTTCCACTAGTTCTTTATACTGGCCACTGTCTGAACTGCGGGTAGGAGTTACCTGAGGGGCTGCTGCTTTCCCCTTCATCAGTGGAAGACTTTGTCAGTGGGAGCTCTGGGGTCACCAGATGAGGTGATGAGGTCCCCAGCAGCTGCTGACAAAAACACAGCCCACAAGACTTCAGTGGGACTCCTGCTTCTCCCACCTACAGACACCTCTGTCTGGACTGTTAAGGTGCAAATCTAACTCTGCATCTCTGCTTGTGAAACAAACAGAAAAATTACCGAAGATGGGACTCGAATTTCCATCCTTGGGTATTAACACAGCTGAAAAGGCAACCAACTGGATTGTCTGTAGTTCTCTCCGAAAAATTTAGCAACAATAAATTTTAACACAAAAACAGGCTGGCATAAAACTCCACAAGTACAACTTCACATTGCAGAAGTCTTGGGTTGAAAACTCTGCATCCCAGAACAGCTCCTGTAATGACCAGTGAACTCATGTAAGCAGTCTTACAGTTCATTAATAAGTGCTGACATTAAAGGCTAAGCTATAATTTGCAAAGTTCTTAATTGCTACATCTTTTATGTAATTCCATCTTGTATCTCCCACAGTCCAGAACGAGAAAAAATAAAAAAAACCAAAGTTCAAAATTTCTGTTTCTAGTGACCAACACTTCACTCACAAAAGCGAAAAGCTCAAAGAAGTTATTTTAAAGAAGGCAGAATGCAAAATAATGAAACAAATATGCAATAATAAAACACTAAGGGCAAAATAAATTTATACATAACACAACTATTTTTCAAAATTCTTGCTTTGCTTTAGATGCCAGTTTGCCTTCTGGCTAAAAACACATTCTTCACACACGCTGGGAATGTTGAGGAAAACTAGTCAGCATTCAGAGGATTAATACAGATTTCCAGCTCTGTGCCTTTAGGCTTAATAGTCAGACATCTATTTGTCCTCAGGAGAGGTTAGGGGTTGAAATGCAAATATGCAAACAACTGAATTCTTTGTTAAGATATCAAGAAAAAGCTTGATCTTTGCTGCTGTTTAATAAATCCTTGCAAATTTTATGGACTTATTTAAATGCAGCTTTGTGTCTTACTATTTTGAAGGAGAAAACAATGCAAGGAAACAAACACATTCATTCTGACTAAAATTTGTTCTCTAGAGGAAAAATGACATACACCCTTGACAGCTTATTTACCAAACTCACTAAAGATTTATTGATTTATCAATCAGTGCCTTGAGCATTTGCTTCTCCCCAAGGGAAAATTAACAATTCCAGCTAACCTAATATATTCTATGTATAAACTAAGTGAATGCAAGAATCAATCCTGGCACAGTTTACAACACCCAGTTTAAAAAATGCTGTCCCTTTTGGTGTCTGTAAAATTGAAAGCTATACTAACGAAGAATAAATGCTCATGTTGCTTACAAACATAAAAAATACTTATTAAGACAGTACAATTGAACCCAACAGACATTTTAATTCATTTAAATACTCAGTGGGAGGCAAAAGCATTGGAAAATAAAAAATTGAATGATTTTGCTTCTAGATTAATACTAAGTACTACCACTATTAGTTGCAATACTGACATGCCTCAAAGCAGAGGTATTTCAAGGAGCTACAAATTCTCTTCTGCTTCACCTGCAAAAGCATAAGCCTGAAAATTAATTAGTGGTTTGATAATGTCAGGGCAACATAAGAATTCCAGAAGACGAAAATTAAAATCTAGGAGCATTTTGTCACTTAATATGAAAGCAAAATGTTTTAACACAAATAAAATGTACACAGCTAAGATGGTGTTAGTGAAAGCAAAATGCAGTAAACACAAGATTTGCTTTCCAGTAAAAAGAAGTAAAAACATCCAAAATATATATTTAAATAAAAGTTTGAAGTCCTAAAGAACTGGTGTAGCAGCTCAGTGCATCAGTGTTGAACCTCTGCAGCACCTGGGGTCCCACAGAACCCCCCCGAGTGAGCGGGTGAAGAACAGACACAGCAATGTCTGCTCTTGAAAACCAGGAACAACATCTCCCCCCCCCAATAACCCCCTCCCAAACCCACCCCACACACAGTAACTCATCCCAAAGCCAGGCAGGATTTTCCCTGTGCTGGTGAGGGGCAGCTGCAGCCTGGCTGCAGAAGCTTTTGGACAGGAAGCCTTGTCATCACAACCAGGATCTTCCCAGCAAGACACATTCCATAGGAGCAGCTGAATCCAACACATAAAACCAACCATGGATTCTTCTAAAGCTTCATGCACGTAATTCAATTTAGCAGAAGTTTTATTATAATCACAGAATTTAAGGCTTTGCTAAACATTAAATTGTGCTTTTAGAGAAAAATCCTCAAATATGTCACGATCCCCTTTTTCTAAAATAGAATTAAGTATGAAAATTGCCATCCAATCCCGGAGAGAAAAGGTAGGAATTATTGTAAAAGACTGCCCTCTGGTGTTACAGCAATTCCAAATTCTATTTTCTATTTAAGATCCCCCCCAACCACCCCGCTGCATTTTTTTATTATTATTTTTTCTTTTTTTACCTGAAAGAACCACCTCCAGGGTCATTCAGCTTGTTTTTCTGATTTGCAGAGACCTGAACACCAAAGCCCCCAGGACTTTTACTGGCTTGTATTGTTGGTGCCTTCCCTACTGTGCCTGAAAAACACCAAGCAATGTTATTATGAGCTGTCTTAGACAATTTACATCAAAGAACCTTCTGTCCAGGAACTAAATTTAACTGTCTGTAAATTGCAAACAAAGGAAGTTATTATTTTTAAAGATTACATGCTGAAGGAGAACAATTTAAAATACAAAATTTATATTAACATTACAGTTTGTTCAATATTTACAGAACAGTGAGGATTCCAAAACTGAAAACCATTGGCCATAACTGGCTGTAACATTTGTAATGGCTAAAAGTGTGCCTGGAATTGCCAGTAAACCTCTTTTCTGGACAATCTGTACAGAATAAAGAAGCAGAATTTGAAATGTTCTTAATACAGATACTTCAAGTCACAGTCAGGGTACTAAGTCTGCCTTTGACATTTTTTATACAGTAATTGTTCTTTATTGCAGTGAAAAACATATATTTCAGAGTTGAAAATACTACAGGAATTTTAAAATGTTTTGCATTGCATGTAAAGGAAAAACCACTATTGCCAAATTTGACAGAACCCCTCCCATAAAGGTTGTCTTTTGCTTTCTTATCTTGAAAACAATGATTTAAAAGTAATCCATAACTGTATCTAGACTTTACAGGTCTTGAAGTAGAAGTAAAACTGGGCTTTCTAAATGTGCCAAAGTGTGGTGGACATTGAGTAAATTAAAAAGGGATCTTAATTCCTCTCTGGCATTTGGGAAAATCTAACCAAAAATAATTACACATTTACGTTGCTAATTAGAAATTCACCAGATTATTATTATTATAATTATTATCATTATTATTTACATAGCATCAGAATGCAAGTTAAAAGAATTGGCAAATGAAACTTTTGGAGTAAGCCCTCCTTTACTGCTTAAATACATTTACTTGGGTTCTATTTTGTGTTTCCTCTAATCCCACCTGTGTTTTGACATGTAAAAATAACTCATATGCCTACTTGACTTAAAAGATCTCCCCTTTTTCTTGTATATCATTCCCTTTTACCGAATGTTAGTTACACAGTTTGAGAAGGACATGAGAGTCCTTCCTGCACCTCTCTGACTCAACTGCACATAAATGGCAGGGCATGAACCTCAGGAGAGTTACAGGATTTGTCTTCCATGAATTATAAAAACCTGAAACACAACTATCCCAACAAATCCTTTTAAGAACACTTCCTGGCTAAAACAAAAGTGTTAGCTTTGAATTAGTCTTGCATTACATTTGTTTTTTAATATTGAAGTCTTCATCAACTCCAACATATGATCTTAAAAGAGAAACTAATTTGACAGTGTGTGTTCAGTTCTCCATCTGTATAAATAAACTGTAGTGTGGACTATCAATGTTAGCAAATACAAAACCAGATTTAGGGCTTCAGGCTCAAGCCTGGGGAATAAAAATGCTTTGTCATTGGAATATTCAAGGTCCATGAGATGCCACAGACAGCACTAGTTCATGGACCAGACAATTCATTTATCTGTTTCAGATGAACTAATGGAAAGGTTTTCTATTAAGTGAACTGGAAGAAAAGAAATAATACTATAATAAAAATTAGCAGATCTCTGGTTTGTACAATTAGTATCTAGGAGATTAAAAGCGTGTTAACCATGAAAAATACTGCAATGGCAAAATTAAGGTAACAATGGCACTCCTTCAAAATTAATATTCTATTTCTTTGGATCAGTATCAATGCTTTGTTTTCTACAGATGATAATTTTTGGTCAAAACCCATCCCACAAACTCAAAAGGGTACAGCAACAGAGTAGCTACCCTAGTTATCAGGAAAGCAGTATGTCTGCCCTGGATATGGAAGATCTAAATCTCACTTTCATCCCAAGTATATGGAATTCCATTCAAATGCATCTGGCAAAGTAAATGTAAGGTTTGGGATGACATACAAGTGTTCTGGTTTGAATAAATCACAACTGTGCATGACTAAGCAGTTCGACATAAAATATGGCTACAACATGCATTTACATTATGGGGCAGGGCATAGTTTGAAAACCAAAATCACCCGTGGGCCTAGATATTTCATGGGATTGGTAATGACATACAGAGTCTTTCACCACCGGATCCTTGCTCCAAATTTTAAGTAGCATCATCTAGAAAAATAAGCCCAAATTTAGGAGCTTATAAATTCCTAGTTGTATTTCAGCACAGGTTGAATGGCTGCAATGAATACCTAATTATTTTATTCTTTGCCTCAATTCCTCCATCCATAAGATGCAATTCACCTAGTTATTATACTGGTAAGTGCTTCAGTAAAGGAGTGTGAATTTTTCATGCAATAACAACAGTGTCACTTCTCCTGGTGTGGAAGTAATTTTATTTATATAAAAGTCCTTAAAGCCTGCCAATTTTATCTAGACCACTCTTTTAAAAAACATTACAGTCTGTTCATATGGATGTATTCAAGATCCATTACACCTGGAGATTCACTCCTCTCCAGAAGGAAAATGCAGCGCTCTGTGGAGGTCAGCTCAGTTCCAGTGTAAATACCTTTAAAAAGTCACACTCCACAAAATTATACTGCTGTAATTTTTATTTAGACCATATCCTATTCCAGTATATTGCCTCATTCTGGAGGAATACCTAGGCCAGTATAAAATATCACTATGGTGTTTACAGTGAAAGGTTTTAACAATATATCAAAATGAACTGTCTCTGACAGTGCCACAGCAGCAACTCAGAGCTGCTCACACGGGCACAGCTCCCCCCAGACATGGGCTGCAGGATCAGGGCTTTGCAAGGGGATATTTTCTAAATGCCTATTCTTGTTTGCTTTGTCTGTGTTAATTAAAACAATACAGTGGGGGGCTTAATCAAACTTCTAAACTGGAATAATCTCACCTGAAAGCAGGACTTTGCACAAATTGGCTTTTATGAAACCACTGTCTACCTTAAGCCAAACTGCCAGTTAAGATGCATTGCACTGGCTGACCAAGGGCTATCAAGAATAAATTCATATTCTGGATCCACTGTTTAAAAGGCAGATGCCAGTATCATGCAAATTCTTGGCATTCTGTTGACATTCACAACTTGGAGACTGAACAAGCAAAGAAATAGAATCTGCCTTCACTCTCAGACACGTTAGTCAGAAGTGAAAGCTCATCCTATAAGATGCATGGACATGTTATGAACTCAGGACATGAGTATCAGTGCTACCAAATATACACATTTTATGGTGAGTAAATGTATTTCTTCCTAACTTGGAAAAACAGCCTACAGGATTACAGTGCCAGCTTGGTCTCCATGTCCATTCAACCTTTGGATTCCCCTAAGAGAACAGAGCAAGTAAAACATCAACTGCTATTAAATGGTTTTGATGTTTTTCCCAAGGAGAACAGAAACAACCGAGCAATGAAGGCAAATAGGCAGCAATAGCTTTTATGTGCATTGAAACTCGTGTGGTTCCTGATTCAATACCTGAAGATGACAAGCTCTGTATTCCATTACAAACCCTCAATCAGGGAAATGCCCACATCCAATAAGATATTCTCACACGTACTCAGGAAAAATAAAAACCAAGCCTAACAGGTTTAGTGGTAGAAAGAAACAAATGGATATTTATCAGAAAGCAAGGAGGCTTTGAGAATCCTTTCAAAAAGTGGGATATATCAGCCAGACAGGAATCCACCTGTGCACAGATAGATGAGGAAGCTGTGTACAAACCACATGCCATGGCTAATTATGGCACGTCAGGTTGCTGGAAGTCAGTCTCTGACCTCACCAAAAAGTGAATATACTGCCAGGGGTCAAAAATAAACCATGAGGCCTGAGAAATTTCTCTAGGACTCCTCCCTTGACCTCAGTAGCTGCAGAGACAGTGACTATCATGTTCTGCTTCAGGAGTAAAAATTAGAAGTAGGATGATTAAGTCGAGGCAGGAAAAATGAAGAATTTCTTTCTTGGCCCAGAGTTACAGCTTAGGACAGCAAGAGCCAAGTTCCTGACCTTTTTTAGAACTTTCCATTAAAAACTGCTGAGTAAGGAGCTAAACATGTGAGAGTTTAGTCCTAAGGTTGTTTCAAAACATTTCACTGCGTTGGTCTGAAACACCTTGAAACTGCACATGGAAACATGCACTCTTCAGGCAGCAGGAGGTAAAAAATCAATGTCAACAACGTTGCCAAGGTCAACACTGCACGTTTTTCCATGCCACTCGTTTGTAATGACAACGAAATTCATACAAAGGTAACAATCTCACTAAAACATTTAAACCCATACCTTGTGGTCTAATGGTCTGAGTTATTACCACTGGCATCCTAATCTGGGTAGTCTGGCAAGCAGGGGTTCGTTTCACAGTTTGAGCAGATGTTGACTGGATAATCTGCTATTATTAAAGAAAAGTATACTTATATTATACTCTTTATACACAAACACACACAACGTAAATACACTAATACCTGTAATTACCAATACAAGCATGTGGATCTCTAAAAGCACAACCAGCTGGTGACAAAAGTCATATTCATGTAATGCATGTGGTTGTGTGTGTGTGTATATACCTATTTTGCCATTATGCTTTAAAAAAAAATAAAAAAAATAAAATAATATCCGACACAAATGTCATATGTCACAACCTTCATCAAAAATATATTTCAAAGTCATAAGGTTAATATTAAAGTTTAGACTTTTGTCTTCAGGAGTTTTACAAGGAAGAAAACCAATTTTGTAGAAGAAAATGCTGCATTAATTTTAGTGGTATTCACCTACAAACATTAGGCCTTGCACTATATATCTACGCTTTTTAAAGAAAACATATACTAAAAATAAATGCAAAAATATTATGGGCTTCAAAGTCAGGTATACTCAAGAAAGACAACCAAGTTTTGTGCTGATCATATACTACTAATCTTTTAAATATTAATTGGATATTCTCAAGGTTTCTGTTATTACTCGTTCAAGTTTTGAAGTCCTTCCCCAAAAACTGAAACTAGGTTAGAAACAAAATTTGACCCATAAACAAATCAAATAAAAAGGAAAACACCTGCAAGGGTCATGTCTAAGCAACAGCAAAATGTACATTCGCATGATCAGGGACCAGGTAGCACAGATGCAATGAACAGAAGATTCAAAAAGATGTGTGAATGCTGCAGAGCTGTAAAAAAATCCATAAATCAACTTTGAACATGAAACACAGGCAAATAGCTATGAATAAGATTATAACCACAACTTGGGAATTACAACTTCAGGAGCCACAGTCACAACTATCATCCTCCCACTGCACCATGTGTCTGGGGCTCCTCAACCCCAGTTCAGCCCCATTCCCTCCTGGAATTCAGCACCACACTGCACAGCACTGTGTGAAGTGAATGGGAACCGCTGCAATTCCATTCAGCATTATACCTACAAAGTGTATCTAAAACCAGATTGTTTAGCTAAATAACAACTGGCCAAATCTCTGACTTCAAAGTAACCTCCGGAGAAAAGGAAAGGAGAAACAGCATTTTCAAATGAGATGCAAAAGTAGAGAATGAAGAGGCTACAGAGCAAAGAGGAAATTGTTCCATCAGCTGGAACCAGGGCTCCCAAACTGGAAGGGAGAGAGGTGAAAACTCCAAACAAGAACAGAGGGATGAGGGACCTGCAACGTATTCTGGAGAAAAAACAAGCAGGGCCATTCTGAAGTTATGAAACTGCATTTTGCACATCCGAAAATAGTAGAAGTTGCAAAGTTGTAATGAACCTGTGGATGTAGAAGAATTAGCAACAGTCACCTTGCAGAAAGAGAAAAGGGAAAAAAGATTAGGGATTCAGCTTTAACTATGGACACTGAAGAAAAATGGAGCATTTGTAGGGAGCACAGAGATGGAGCAAATGGCTGTAAACTGACTCAGTCAAGACAGGCAGTGAATGAACAGTCCCACTCGGAGAGGAAAGAACAAATCAGCTACTATGCTTCAAACCAGGAAAGACACAGAGCTGGTAAGTGAAAATGAGGGGGAAAGTCAAATGTAACTGCATTTTGATGCACAGGAAACATGTACAAGTGTATTTTTAGTAAAGAGACAGAAGAGTCCATGGGGAAAAAAAAAACACGTTGGTATGAAAAAGAAGGAGAATGTTGCCACTTTTACCATAATTTATTGGATGAGTTTTCAGAGCATAGTGAAGAGAAGCCACTGTGCCTTACCAGGCCAGAAAGGAGATGTGTGTGACCTGTGGACAGAGTTACTACCTGGTATTACAGCAATCTTCTGGTATCAGAGTTTTTTATTCTCCCTGTGAAGCAAAGTACTTCTACAGTTCAGAACCAAGTTCTGTTTCACCTGATTAATATTTTCATGTGAATCCCCTAAGAAATGAGCCACTAACACCATTAAAGACAGGACAGTATTCAACCATTTAAGAAGACATAAATAATGGCAACATTTTCTTTACTATCAAATACATTCAAAAAAGTGTCCTGTAGCAAGTACTGCACTAGGACTTCAACGTATGTACAAGTGCTGAAAGTGTAGAAAATTGAGAAATGAGCTTTCCAAAGGGCAGAGACCAAAATCAACATCATCAATTCCATACAGAAACCAATCAGCAATCACATACTCTCTCAAAGGAACAGCTGCATCAGACCTCAGAGCAGCATTTTACACTAACTTAAATCCCAGCTTCTGTGCTGGAGTTTTGAGATACATTTCAGCACAGACACAATCTTCAGCTCTGGAAGTCATTAAGGAATTAACATTAGCAATTTGTTTCTGAAACAGAATGTGGAACCTCCTTTGTAGGCAAACAAGGGACATTGTAAAAACTGATGAATCAGAGCAAACTGATCCTGCAACAAAATTTATAAACAATCCAAATCACGCTTCATCTATTAAGATAATTCAAACTGTTCTAATCCTCTTGCCTATTTTCCCGAAATCATAAACATTACTATTATGTCCTTAATTTGGCCTGCAAGTTGTAGACAATGAACAAGTGTATTGCCAAGCTAGTCTGGGAGATGATTAGCTTAATCAAATTATTTCATATTTCTCACAGCCTAAAAATTCAGACAAGGAGTGTATCCCATCTCATGTGATCCATCCATATGCTGAATCAATGCTGAATCCCAAATGATCAGTTTGTAAGCACCAATTTACTGACCCAGACTGACAGAGCAGACACAGAAGTGGATGTTTTAGTACACTGAGGTTATCAGACATTACTTCAGCCTTCAAAAAAGGGGAGATCTTACTGCTGTTTGCAACCACCTGTGGGAAGAGAAGACAGAGCCAGACTCTCTCAGATGTGCAGAGCAGAAGGATGTAACACAAAGGACACAAGGTGGAATATAGGAAATTCCAACTTAATAGAAGAAAAAAAAAAATCACCATGAGGGTGGGCAAGCTCTGGAACAGGTTGCCTGAAGAGATTGTGTAATTTCTTCTTGAAGACACTCAAAACATGACTGGTCACCCAGGAGACATCCTAAGCTGTAAGCAGGAGGCTGGATGAGACACCTCCAGAAGTCCTTTCCAACCTTTTACCACTAGTCCTTAATCACATCGTAAATGATTTAATAAAAGTGCTGAGTCAGAAAAGGTAACAAGACAGGATATAAAAGTCATCAAAGTTTACAGAAACTGTTCATCATTCCCACTCCATTAAAAAGGGAAGCATTTACACCACTGAGGACAGCAAGCACAACAGAACAAGAACAACAAAGGCACTGAAAATAGAAAAGACAGAATGTGATTTAGTCATTGCCTGGATTTGATAATGAGTTTGGAAAACAGCAAAATTACCAAACAAAATTATGATCAAGAGAGTGTTGAGACAGCAAGTACTGTCATACACCAGCTTATCAGTTAAAATATGAAGAATCATCTCCTGCACTTTGGAGCTCTTCAAGAAACACACCAAAGCAGGAGAGTCATGGCATTGTTCTCCAAGTGCAATACATGAACAGTTACCTCAATTTGTCTTCTATAAAATAACACTTTTCTGCAAAATAAGATGTATATTTCTCACAATAGAAAGTATTCTCCCTCTGGTTTTATGTCATCTCTGCACATCTCCCCCTGCCATCTTTCCACTCCACTAGTCACACTTTGATTCACCCTTTGTCTGCTCCTCCAGAGCAGTTCCTTCTCTCACCTCCTGAACGCTTCAGACTCCTACCCTGTCCTTCTCTAAAGCTGAATTTATTCTAACAGATGAAAAAAAAGGGATGTTTGTAAAAGGTGCTCCCCACAAAGCAAGCAGACCCACAAAGACAAAAAAAAGATATTTAACAATCACATTATTGATAAGCAGAATAACAAAGAGGGGACAGTTGAAATACACATTTTTCTTAAAGGCCTTCTTCAAAAATCGTCGATTCAATAACTATATGAGACTAAAGCAATGGTGCTCTCTGGACCTAATCTCAAGCCAGAAGGTGAAGATCATTCCATGACAGGTGTGAATCTTCTACTGTGTCAGTTATTACAGCACAGAGAACAAATTACAGACATGAACACAGACCAATAATTAACAACACAAATAACCAACAAATACAGACTGAGAAAGAATCCAGCCAAAGCACACAGAACGTACAGAAGCAGAAAGACTGAGAACTTCTGTTCTCTTTCTCATGCAAGAAATACAAAATAAAATGAAAGCCACTACCTACAAACCATTGAAGGGAAAAGTCCTTTATGACAATTGGATTAGAACTCATTGCTGAAGTTTCTGAGGACACAGATTTTGCCAATCTCCTGTCCCAGTGCACAAGGTCCCAACAATATGCCTCCCTTTTATCTGACAACAGCTGCAAACCCAGCCTGACTCAATTCACATAAAATCATACTTGGCAATAAAAACATCTGATCCAAAAGCTTAAACCTATCAAATACCACAATAAAGACAAAAGCAGAGGAAACAGAAGCTTCTGCGAAGAATGCAAAATAAAAATAAATTTGAAAAATATATCCTTTACCAGGCATTTCTTTTCCTCTCAATTAACTTAAAAAAATAACATTGTGAAAGGAAGAAACAAGACACTTGTAAACATATAAAATTCAGAATGGCTGTGGTCTGATATGACATTTATCTTCACTCATGAGTAAACACTTGCTAACTCACTTGTGGCTATGCCACTTGTGATTTATCAGTCTACTCACTCCTGAAGATAAATGTCATATCAAACCTCAGCTATCATGTAATCTGGCAGCATTAACTTACAGTGTTCATGCTTTTATGGGCCTAGAATTCGTATTTACCATTGTTCACCATGCTGTATCAGTAGCAGCTACAATTTTTCAACAGTGCCTCAAAATCTGCATAAGCAGATATTTTTCCTCCCAAATAAAAAAGACTGACTTTTTAAAAACTCAGCACGTAAATTTTAATGTTAATATGACAACAATACTGTTCCATTGGGTATATGTTTTCAACAAAGCAATGAAGAAAAATAAAACAGAAGCCACCAGATCACTTGTCCCACCTGCTCCCCAGTTTCATATACAGTTCTTCCTACAGTTTGTCAAATGGTCTGGTTTTGAATGTTTTCAATTATGGTTTTTTCGTCACTGTCTTTGGGAGCCTGATCTACCATCTAATATTCTGTCTTACTCTAAGGATATTTTGCCTTATATCCTACCTAAATCCTACTTCATTTAATTATATGCTGTTGTTCATTTTTATACTGTCTTGGTATGCTCCAAATAATGGCCTTTTATTCTTCCTCTTAGTCAGTGTTTGACCAAGTGAGATGTGTTTAATTCTCTTAAGCTTTTCTTTTAGTCTTTGCTTTTAATCCTGCTCTTTTGTTACTGGTTTCCAAACAGCAACCAGTGACAATATTCTCCTTTTATTAAGGTATAGCCCACAAAATTCTGACAGAAAAGTGCATGACAACAACTCAGAAAACTACTGGGCTGTATTTCAAACAGCCACACAATTTGTTAAGTATAGGCTTTGTTCCTGTTAATGGATCCCAGACCTCTGCTGCTCAACAGCCATTTTTATTTAGATTTTATTGTACACCAAATTCCAAGTCAGTGACTAGATCTTTATTAGTTCATTAATAGAAACTACTCCTTTTATCCAAAAAGCCATCTATTACTCTTACATTTCTAAGCTGCCTTGCACATAGGACAAAGAGAAAATGATTTCCTATGAATCACTAAAATGTGGACACATTACAGCCATTCATGAACAGAAAACTGATGCCAGGAAAAGCTTCTACAGAGAATTAAAAAGCAAAGCAGAACATCCCCATACAACAAAATGCTTATTCTGCTGTTGCATCTTGTTTCCAAATTCCATTATTCCATCTCACCTTTTGGGAGACTCCAACCACTATGACAGTCCCTAGAAAAGTGTTAGTAAATGTTTGAGCAAATCCTGTTCTAAAGGAGCTCAGAAGATGGCAGAGTCTCCCCTCTGGACACTGTGCCCAAATTGCTGCAACAATAACAGTCCAGATGTATTTCTAGACATCCTTCCTAATCCTAGACCTGCACGAGTATTTATACAGCTTTGCAGATAATTAAACTTGTTTTAATTAAGATGGATCACTGATTTTCTTACTAGTTTTCCTTAACACTCACATTTAGTAATTGGCTTTAACATCCAGGAGTATTCTCCTCATGATGCAGTCAGTGTCAACACAACATGTAAAGTGCTAATCCATCTCCATTACCCATCAATCCACTTACAACTTCAAAACATTTAATAAACAGCATCTCTCTCATTCCTGCAAATTGTACCTGCTGTAACACCCAGAACAAGACAGGAAATGTAGAGCACATGGACCCTAAGAATGGCGATTTAGACCAACTTTGAACATTGCACTTAGAACAATTAAAAAAAATTGATTGCTGGCTTATCTCATTAGTGTCTCATCAATAAAATATTAGCCTAAGATTATTCCCCTTTTCTCTATCTAGAAGTAGCACTATCTAGCTCTTAAAAGCATTGCTTTTTTGTAGCTTAGATTATGATTCCAATACTTTACAAAATGAATAAAAAATTGTCTCCTCTTCCATCTGCACTAACACTTCACATTTCAAAGCCTTTGTGCAAGCTATGCTGCATGCTGACAGTGTACACAGAATTTCCATGCAGCAAGATACCTCAATACCACTGGAGGAAGTCTCACCTCATCTGACCCCTCTGTGAGACAGAAATGTCAAAAGAAAGGAACAGCTAACAGATTCTCCACGTTTTAAAGGAAACTAGACTACTGTAAACTGGCTGGTATGAAAAGATCTCTATTCTAAAACAGGCTTGCCCTTCTGCAGCTGGACAGTTTGCAAAGCCAGCTGGAACTCTCTCCAGTGAGCTTCAGGCTTGGAAAATCTGGAGCTCAGCCAGTTTCCTCCATCAGTGCTGGCCACCCCCAGGCAAGGCAGCTGCAATCCTCCTCTTCCGGACAAGATGGGCAGGAGCTCTGGGCTCTGCTCTGATTTCGGGGAGCACTCGGGGCTGGGAGCACTGGGAGCACTGGCACTACAAAGAATCACTACCTAGGAACCATCCTTACTGTGATATGGAGCTGCTGCTGGGTTCTCTGCTCAGCACCTGAGTTGGTTGTTGTGCTATCTAAGATTTTTTGATGCAGTAACTCTCACTCTTTAATGCTGCTTTTGTCTGTACAGAACTACTGTGAGGGTCATTAAGTGCCTGGTTAATGTAATGTTTGGTTCTATTAATTAATGACTGATTAATTTAAAGCAAATATGAAAAGACAGTTTTACACTAAAGCAAATAACTTACAGTTTTTAATGTCCTATCTCTAAGTATTTTCCAGAAAAGGAACAGTAAGCATAGTTTTGCTCTGCGTGGTTTGTGACCTTTAGAAAATGTAGCAGTCATTTCATGTACCCAGTAAATGAAAATTCAGCCCTAGACCTGTGACCTCCTTACAGACACAAAAGCAGCCTGTTTTGCCCCTCAGATCAATCTCAACAATGTGTTACTTGAGCACTTTTGAGCTCCCTCCTGTGACACAGGTATGTTGAATAAGCTGACACTGTTCATCTCTACTCAGGTTAACACGACTGCTTGCTTTGAGCACCCACTGACACGAGACAGACGGTGTCTCTCCCAGAAACACAGCTTTCTTCCATTCACAAAATATTCCACAAGAACTACAATCCTAAGAGTAAGCATTCCTGTGGCCTCACACGTGTTTGTTGTACACCAACAAACCTTCTCAAAAGGTGGGTGCGACTGCCAGATGGGCACAGGAGTGTTTAGGTGGGTTGCACAACACTGGAAAAAGCCATGTTACCTTAGTCTTAAGATTGTGGCATAAAGCCAGATTTACTGGCCATGGCTTTTTATACTTGCAAGCAATCTGTCAGCTGCTGTCAGAAATTTGCTTTCCCTGGACAGGGAGTAATTCTTACACCTACTGTAATTACCACCAGTTCCTCTCCCTCTACTTTGAAGCACCAAAGCTCTTGTCCAGTCAGTCTTATGAAATATGGCCAAATCAAAAAGATGCCACGAAAAGTGTGAGGAACACTTTTCTAATCAACCCAACAATCCAGAAGGGCTGGGGAGAACTCATATGAAAACAAGAAAGAATGCAAGTGGTTGAACAGAGAGCACTGAGGCAGGGTGAGAAATACCCACCTCTCGTGTGCGTTGCAACAGGCAGAGTCAGAAATCTCAGCATCCATGAAAACTGTGCTCACTAAAGGACTATAAAACTACATCAATTTCATTTTAAAGTTAGTAATTTAACCACTAGAAAGTATTTGTAAGGTTCAAGATATGGCTCAGATGGCTCAGACATTCTCAGACTGTGCACTGCTACTTTTAAATTAAAGCAAAAGAACCATTCTCTCTCCCCACACCCTACAAATTATTTATATCCTTTACAGAGCATATAGACTCAAGGATAGATCACTGGAAGGTTTTACATAATCACATATGCATTTCTCAACCTTGATAACATAAATTTTTACCAACTCGGTACACCTTCTGGAACCTGCCAATTTGGTTTCAAAACCTCAGTCAAGTCCTTTACTCATACAAACACAGAAACCACAGACAAAGAAACTCTCACATCTTTGCTTGAAGGATGATAACACCTGTGTAAACTCAAGGCCTTGTAAAGATCCTTAACATATTTTAATTAAAGCTGTAAACACACACACAAGCTCCTATATGAATTCAGTTGCCTTACTGACAGTGTCTTTGAAATTAATTAATCTAAATACATAATACTCCACTATGCACAACAAAGATACATTTCAGTCAGTAACAAAGAATGGCATTATTTCTAAACAGAACATCCTGGTACAGCTATTCTTCTACAAGATTTTATAACAATGTGAAGAAGAGTTTAAAATGAGAGAGTTAATTTTAATGCAGACTAATCTAGGCAAAGCAGCATATCTAATGACATACAAGAGGATAATGTTTAGTAAGTCTTGAGAAGCTTTCTGTTCTACATTTGTAATTCCCTCAAATTCCACTGTGCTCATACAAGGATCACTGGATTGCAGACAAAAAGGCCAAGAGTGCACTTCCTTACATTTAAACTGTTAATAATGTTAACTAATGGTTGAGCATACATGTGAAATGACACAAAATGAGGTGCTATTATGTATGACAGAATATGGTACAAACAGAAAAGTATTTTCCCAAACAAGCTGCAATAAAAATAACAATGAAAACTGCTATACAGTTCACTAAGAAATTCTCTTTTATACTACAGTACCTACCAGTTGAGAACTCTGATTTGACTGTACCACCTTAACCTGAGGAGGCTGCACTGTATTTGATACAGAGACTGTGCAAATGTTGTTTGGTTGCCTTATTCCTATTGTCTGTGTGGTGACAACAGAGGAAATGCTTCCCGAGGCAGACTGAGGTATCACTTGTGAGAGCTTGCTTTGTTGAAGTGGCTGCTGAGACGGCTGTCCTTGCAAAACCAAATGCTGACTATTCAGTAAAGATTGTCTCAAGGCAGGTAGACTTTTCTAGAAACAGAAGAAAGTTTATGAAACAGCAAACTTAGCAGGTTGGCAAAAAATATTTTGAAATTTTGCTATAAACACAATTAAAAGAACGTAACTTTTTTCCCAATTATTACTATCGGTCTATTCATCAAACAGAAATAAGATTGAACATATTTTGTAGGAGAGAAAGTTCAGTTTACATTTTTAATAAGCTCGTAATTTGCATTTTGCAACCCTGTAGACTGTCATGTGCCCTAAATTCCACTGCAGCAGTAAAATATAACATTCTCCTTCTCCAGACTGTCTAGAACTTGTAGCTTAGGCATTTGGAAGGGCAAAATTGGAACCAGAAAAGGTTGAACTGTAGGAAGAACCCTGTTCCCACTGCATGTTAGAAGAAGCAAGCTGCACTTTACTTCTCCTGACATGCCTCCAGTACCTAGAACGAGATGACTTAACTGTTGATGCCCTGCAGCAATAGCTTTTCCTGCAGCAATAGCTTTTGACTGTATTATTGCAGATCTAGGGTACTCTGACTGGATTAGAAAAATGTACTATTGTATCCTTCATGTTCAAACCACTTCAACGAAAAAATACAGTTCTAAAAGGCTGTACTGTACCTTCATGAACAGACTTTTTACTTTTTAAGTGGCAGTAGTGTTCTTTTGAAGTGCTCCCCCAGGCAGCTGTAGAATGCAAGTGTTCAGCCCAAGCTACAGTTCTTTCTAAAGTTATAATATTTACTTAAAAACTTAATGCCTGTTGCCAAGAAAGGACGTCAAAGAAAGGAAACAAGTTAAAACTTATCGTGATGCCAGAAGTGACTGCAGTGACTGCAGGAAAAGGCACAAATAAGGGTTAATGATAACTTGAAAACACAGAAGCGGAGGGAGAAAGTTCTGAAGAAAAGTTGCAGGAGAAAAGAGGAAATCTGCCCTAAACAGAGGAGTTTTGAACTAGACAAAAAATGCTTTAAAAATTGTATTTGTGGTTTTGTTGGGACATAATTAAACATGTTTTTTATGTTTGAATATAATCTTGCAGTTATTGTAGCTAATGTATAGAACCAATTAAAAGTTAAATTTATCCCCTTGTATACTAACTTAGGACCCAACAATGAATCCACTTGGTATCACATCAGAAAGTATACTACTGATTAGCTCCAGATTACAAGCAGGATCATCTAATCAATTATTTCAACACCACTATCCATTTTAGTTTTTCATAATCATTGTTACATGTGGATTGCAAGTGAACAATGATCCAAACATAGATAACAAAAACAATATGGAAAAGCTTATTAAATTACTTGAAGCATTTTATAGAAATAACTTGTGACTCCTCCAAATGTGAATGCTGTACTTCTTCCCAAAAATTAACCTACTATCACAGAAAAGTGTACTTTTTTATAAAAGTAAAGGACCACTACAGAATAGCCAATGGGTGATCTCCAAACTAGAGAGTAACTGCTTTTTTATATAAATCTAATTACTGCAACGTTGTAGGTCAGAGCTGCTCGAGTCATGAACTCCAGATCAGCTCTGGATGACAAACACATTGTTCTTAAACCTAAGCCAAGGCCCCAGACACGAGGTCTTCCCTCCTGTAGGAAATCCCTGGTTCTCACTGTTCTCCCAGCCTGCCAGGGAGCAGCACCTGGCTGCAACAACTGAGAGGGAGCCTGCAAGGGACTGCCAGCCAAGAGCATTCTGGCAGAAGTGGGCAGCACGAAGTAAAAAGGGAGTAGTCCTGCTCTAGGCAGGACTAGCTAACACCACTTAAAAAGGATATTCTAAGACTCATTGTATAGAAATTTGCATTGAAATAGATTTCTCCAAACAATATCCACATTACCTTAAGGAAAGGGACAAGGTATGGCTGAGGAGATGATTTGAGTTCCGTTTGAAGGCGGCCTGTAAATTCTTCTGGATCAATCTTTGCATCCTTCGGGGGAAGGAAAAAAAAAGCATCAACAACTCAGTTCAGTTGGTTGGTTGTTTCTTTCCCAGCTAATATATACACATATATCTCTAGCTAAATAGGCTGCCACATCAAGCAGAACTTTTGGAGCTGAAGTCCCTCAACTCCTCTCTAAGATCCTTCTGTCAAGAGTCAATTCATACATGTAACATCCCACTCAACATTCAGGGAGTTCCCCTGGGATGCACAACTTCAGACACAAGAAGACCCCAAATACACCCAAGCCTCTTTTGGGATTCCATTCTTTTGCTAACATTGACAGAGTGATTTCTTTTTTAAAATTAAAAGAAAACAAAAACAACAGGTTATTGAAGTAACCTTACAAACTATTGTAACATTTGTCAGCCCTTGTAATAAGAAAATATTAAATACTTAATTCCAAAACCAATTCTGATGGTACAATTTAACTTAGTAGAATGTGTATATATAAAACTATACATGTAAAGCATAGGCACATACAAAAAGTACACATATAAGTAAATACAAAATTGTCAGCTGTATGAATTTGTGTATATACTCACAAAATATACACTTATAAATATATCAAATACATAACCAGTAGTTTATTTTGTAGTTAATACAGGAGAACTCTATAACTCAGATGCATTTTATAATATTTCTAGAGTATCACTAGTTACAACCTCAGGTTGTAATAAAACCATTCATTAGCTTTCCTGGACTGATACAGAACAAGAGAAAAAACAAAAAAGCAAACAAGCTTCAATAAGTGTATTCATTACATATGTGTGTTGCTATTTTGCTTAAAATACAGAAAGTAGCTACCTTTAGTTACTTAATCGTTCCAAGTTTGCAAAAGATAACATGAGTTTTTACTGTAACCACTGAACATGATTGTTGAATGGCTCACATTTGAAAACAGTCTTAGGCTTGTCTAAAATATACAGGTTTCTCTGGCAATGAATTCAAAGAAATATATACCACCTGCTTTTAAATCCAACCTCTTCACTGACTATATTTCATTTCTTTTTAAGCAGCTTGACCATTTTTCCAGTTCCCCAGTAACATCTGTCTGGAACTCATTTATACAATTCATTGAAACCTCTGCTTTACTGGAGACTGCAGTAAGTCCAGACCCAGCAGCTCAGCAAAATACTTCTCCTTCAGTCCTAGAAACTCTAACCCACATTGTGAAGGCCCATACCTTAAGACAATTAACAGCTTCTCACTGTTTCAGAAAAGACCATGGTTTGGAGGAAAAGAAACTTAATGAATCCTCAAGGAAAAATCTTTTTACTCTGGTTTTCTAAAGAAATGACCAAAATATTACCCACCAAGAGTGTTTTTGACAAACACATACTAATTACTTTGCTGCAGTTCTCCTTTCAGAAATTAAGAGAAAGTCTGCCTTGAACAGATTCTTGAAGACATGTAACCTACAGAATACTCACATTTTGATGTAGTTCAACTCCTTTCACTTTCATTACAGCCCAAAGAATTAAGATCATAGCAATAGTTTTCAGCCTATGTAAATAACAAGCTTAACAGATAACTGACAAAAGAAAAGATAACTAAATATTTACCAACAAATCTTGAACCAGAGCTTTCACATTGCGGGACGTTTCTGGAGATGGTGAATTATGAGAAGCAAGTTTTATAAGGGTAGCTAAAAAGTTTTTGCATTTTTTCACATTCTCTTGCATTTCCTGCAAAAGCCAAAGAAAACAAATATCAGATCCATGCTACTTTTGCATCAGGATCAATGCATGCTCTGACCACCACAAACAAGGAAAATGATGACACTTTTTAAAATTCAGACATGACATATGTGAAATAAATCTGCAGCAGTTTTGCTATGGCTGCAAGTTACCTGATATTTTCTTCACTTTTTCACATAACTGAACATCACAGCTCGCAAATAAAAACAACAAAAAGAAATAAAAGAAATATATTTTATATTTTACAGGCTGCTTTGATAAAAATAACCTTAAATATGAGAAGTAACACAACAATTTGTTGGAGATGCATTCCCCTTTGAGATGCCCACTACACAATGTACAAACATTCCCCAAGCTATCCTAATTTGTTCAATTATTTATTCAGTATATTTTTGTACAAAGCAGCTGCAGCAGTAAAATCAAATCAGAAATCAGTCTTCAAATATCATCATATCTAAGCTTTTCTCATCAGCAGGAAAACAAGCCATTATTTTTGTACGGTGTAATTGCTCCAAAAAACAGAAACATCACACTTTGACACACCACAGTTCTGAGGCCCAGCAACAGGATAATAATGAAGTCCACAGACTAAAAGGCCTGGTTGTTGAGTCTACAGAAACAGTTCTTTCCCTACTGACACATCCATGGCAGGATGGGGAAAGCCCACCACAAGTGTTCTTCCTCCCTCTCAGAATTTGCCTCCTGTTTAGCTGAAGTGAGGGGAAGGGTTTTCTTGCTTGTCAAGCATTTGTTCCATCACAGGATGCATGCCTGCAGGAAGAAAAAGCTCCTCCTGCTTCTGAACAGACCCCAGAAGTTCCCAAAGCACTAAGAAAACCATGTGTGCAGTATTTTACCACTTGCCTGCGACACAACTGTAGTTCCAGGCACAGGAGAGCTGGGGATGACCAGGGGCTGTGCTGGCACTGGAGCTGCCGTGTGAGGCGGCAGCGGCAGCCGAGGCTGACCCTGGCTTTGTGCTGAACCTTGACTCTGCCCACCAGTGATCACTGCAGGTTGTTGAGAAGCTGAAGTTCCAGTTGCTACTGTTGTCTTGAACAAATTTTGAGCACTTGTCGTAGCTACTGATACCTATTGACATTTCAGATTGGAAAAACAGGTAAGTATCTTCTTTTAATTGTTTTACTCAGCCTTAAAGTTCCTGAAAGGAAAAACTCGTTTCCTTTCAAACACAGCCTTACTGACAAAATAAAACCACTGATTTCATCTATTTATTATAATCCTAATTTTGACACCCTTTCCTGACCAGTGCAAGTCCTCATTTAAAGTCCCCTTTATTACAAAAATAAATGTACCACTATAAAATTAGTTGTCAGCACCCAAACCTTTAAGATTACTACGATGGTGTAACTTCTGTAACTCAATTTTCTGTAGATTTGGCCCTTAATATGAACAAGTCTGTTCCCAGTGATCTGTGGCCATGCCATCAGGTTTACAACTATCCATCCCACAGTTACAGTGACAGCTCAGATCCCGAGGACACAAACGCACTAAGGCAGCTCCCCAGGCCAGGCTGAGCCAGCACTTTTGCACCAGTGCACAGCCCTGGTGAACAAAGCTGGCCTGGGCCAGCTGGGCACATGCAGACTCCACCTCAGTGCAGCATGTCCACCACTGAAATAGGATCTACAACTCCACCTCACTGGAGTTTTTTCTTTGAAAGAACTCAATCTATACCACCCTCAAACTTGTTATCATCTAGGAAATGGTAGAAAATAAGGTCTAGGCTATCCCTCAGGACCTGCATAATAAAGTCTGACTGTACATTCATTATTAATTTCTGGGATTACACTGGCAATAAAAGGAAAGATATGAACATTAAAATTCACTTTCCAAAAACCCATGTAAATCATAGAATCATGGAATGGTTTGGGCTGGAAGGGAACTTAAAGCTCACCTTGTTCCACCCCCCTGGAAATTTTTAAATGACTGTCAGAAAAATGCTACACAAATGAGTTTCTATTATTGTCCATCAGTGTTAAGCACTTCATTTCTTCTCTTAAAATGAAATTCCAGAGAACAGTGTTGTAAAATCATGGAATGGGTGGGAAAGAAACTTAAAGCTCATCTCATTTCACCCCCTGCCATGGGCAGGGACACCTTCCACCAGCCCAGGTTGCTCCAAGCCCCGTCCAACGTGGCCTTGGACACTTCCAGGGATGGGGCAGCCACAGCTTTTCTGGGCAACCTGTGCCAGGGCCTCCCCACCCTCCCAGGGAAGGATTTCATCGGTAGATCAAACATAAATTCCCGCTCCTTCAGTCCAAACTCGTTAGTCCTTGTCCTCCCACTGTTTGTACCCCCGAAAGGTTCCTGGCTGTATCCCACCCAGCCCTGCCCCTTTTCCTGCCCCGTTTGCAGCGGTGTGCCCCCTCTCACCGTGGTGTGTGCCAGCACAGCCCCCCCTGGCAGCGTGGCGGCGGCGCTGGCGGGCGCAGCCGGCGGTGGCACCACCTTGGCCTGCACGGGCAGCCCCAGGCGCACGGCGGGCGCAGCCACGGACGTCGGCTGCTGAGAGAGGAGAAACAGTCCTTTATTTTATTCCCTCTCCTCGGCAGCTTGGTCTCCAAGGCTCTTTAATAAGAGTGATTATAAGAATAATCATTATTAGCGCTGAAAAGAACACAAAAATCCCAACCCAGTAATGTGTTCTTAAATATATGTTCACAAATAATGGAGAAATGAGCTCTTACATTCAATAAGTTTTTAGTATTTCTCCTAAAAGCTATTGCTCACACAGCTATAAGGAAAAGATTAGAAAAAACAGATGTGACCTGCAAAAAACTGATGCATTAGTTCAGTTGTCATATTTACAAGTCAGTATTCATCAATATTTGAGTTCATCACTGCCAGTACCACGTATTGGTCCCCATGGTATTTACTGGCCTGTTCCACTGCTTTTTCTTGAAGAAAATTAATATGGAGAGAAAATTCAGAGAGCAGAAAAACATCTTGAAAATAATTTCACATTGTGAAAGTAACTTGCACAGAAATGAAGTCTAAGCATTTGGAGAACCTTTGTCAGAGAACAAACGCTCTGTAACCAGACAGTGACTGGAATGTGAAGTGCAGACAAAGGAAAATTACTGACTTACAGCCTTTCACTCAGTACCACACTCTACAACTCAGGAAATTATCTCATGCAGCAAACATATTAATTATTTTTAAATTTCTTTTAATCACATAAAAGGAGATTTAGAAATAAAAAATGACTCAAGAAAAGTTATTTTATTCTACAGGAATGTAAATACCATTATGAAAGAAATACATCACACAATATGGCAACAATGACAAAGAATCACTCATTATTAAAAAGGGAGACCACACTGGTGTCTTATAACTTGCATTTATTAAGATTTGCATTCAAACACACACTTAGAAAAGACAAATTTTCTAAGTGGATGGAGTGATAAATCATGGACAATATTGTTTCTCACAAGATAGAACTAATTTTCCTTGATTTACATTTTAATTTGCATGTCTCTATAATTAATATTTTTATAAAGAATTGCTTATTTTAGATTCTTACACTGCCTACTAAACCTACATAAAATACTTCTTCACAGAACATCCAGTATACTCTAAGAGATCTCCAAAAGCAGCAGAGGCCCAGGCAGGCATTCAAAGCCCCAAGCATTCCTTACAAATCAGTCCAGTAACATCCTCTACTGGATATCAATCTTCTGTACTTGGGGAAAAAAAGGAGGAAAAAACCCAAACCAAATAAATCTACCTGACATCTGAACAAAACCTTTTTTTTTGTTGTATGTAAAGCTTTCAAGATTTTTAAAATCTTGGCTAGGGATGCCTTCCACACTGAGACAGCCTAGAGGCAATAAACAGCATCACCCCGAAGGGAAAGAATTGTCTGGTTTTTTGGAAGATGGATCACATAAGCTTTTCCTGTTTTAAATACCCCCACCTCTTCTCTCCATTGTAAAAATGACCACTTGTTTTAATTTCAAAATACTGGTAGGATGAAACTATATTTACCTGATAAATATGAATATTGTGTACCTTGTTCATTTGCTTATAACCAGTGTTTCCAACCTAAAAATACAGCAGACCTGTGGTATTTGCCCCCTTTCATATCAGTATGTTCTTCCAGAGGTGAGGATTTACAAAACTAGCAGATAACCAGGAACACTTCTGGCAGCTGCTCAGTTCCAGGCAAGATGTGCAGTCAGAAATCCACAACCACATCGTGAGACTGCAAGCTAGAGAATTTTTTCTCAGCTAATAAATGCCCACAATTCATCAGAGGAACATACTTGAAAACTGCACTGCACATAATTAAAATATAAAATTTCACTATCATAATATTATCAAACTAAGTATGTGTTCCACTGTGCCAGACCACAGCAAACTGTGCAACTTGAAGACTAAATTCACCCCCAGTTTTAAAAATCAATAGTGACAAAAGCCTTTTGGCAGTAAAATCTATTAATGTGTTGGATATGAAGAAAAAGCCTCACTACCAGAGAACTGCAAACAAAGTAATGCAATAGTTTACTAACGTGGTTCCAAAACTCATGAGTGTTAAAAAGGTAAGTATGAAATGAGGGGATGAGAAACAGAACAAGGAACCAGCCTGGAGAAATTCTTAAGTATCATGGAAATGATCTTCAAATGACAGCTACAAGTTGCCAGAAGACACTCTAAGGACTCCCAACACAAATGCTTCAAGAAAAACAGGTAAAAAATATTTAGAAACAAAAAGCTGTGTTTTCTACGAAAGGAAAGCTGTAAACAGATCTCATGAGGAATCCATCAAAAAGAAAACAAAAATTATCAGCATTACATTAAAAAAAAAATCATAACCCAATGTGTCAAGCTCCCACTGGAACAACATAAAAGAATTTATGAAGTTCCTTAAAGAAAAACTGCTGAGGTTTGGTAGGATGCTATTAAATTCCAAAATTACCAAGAGGGTTAGAAAGAAACACATTTTCAAACGTACCTATTATTTTTTTATTAGACATCAGATATTTTTACATTTCCTAAATACACAAATGTAATGTTAGAGAGGTTTTTGCCCTGTGCTCAGACATCAACGGGCAGGAGAGCAGAACATGAATGAACACAGTAGATAGATAGATAGATAGATAGATGATAGATAGATGATAGATAGATGATAGATAGATGATAGA